CATCATAAAGCACCTGAAATAAAGCCACAAGCATCTACCTGACAATCCAGCAACTGTAAGTAATAATATTTTACAATTATCCTTTTCCTCAAAGGTATTTATTCCTGATTTCTTTTAGCTTTTAACCCATATCATCTCCTTGCACAACTAAAGTGCAGTGTCAATATTGATTTCTCACAAAAGCAAATCCAATTCCTACATTTCCAAGCAAGGCAATACAAAATTGGTTAGTTCTCTTACATTAGACTTCAGCCCTTTTAAACACTTTCTGCTCAATGACCCATAAATTAATGGGGCAGGGGGATTTTCTTGTTCCTCTCTCGTTCTCTTTTTGAGTATGTGATTGACGGATTTCATATCTCACCTTGCAGGGAACATGCAATCGTGCTCCCGGTACAACTTCTTCTCAATGATCTGATAGTGTGTCCCAAGCTTTCGACTGATTGCTTCTGACAGCAACTCCTCAGAGATTCCATCTCGAAAAGGAGCCAAGTCTTGTTCCCTAACTCTAAAGTGAAAGAGATTGTTAAATATTGTTAAACATTCTAGAGGCTAGTTTAATAACAGTTAACAAGAAGGTTAGGAATACAGTTTTGCTTGGCAAAGACTCAGTGCAGATTTGGAATCAGCCCCACTAATGGGCAAGGTGAAGTAGCAAATAAGGCAGAGAAGGTTTAGTGGTACCTCCAGCTACCTCCAGTCATCTCCCCAACTACTTCCATTCTCTAGATCAGTGTTTCTCAACCTTGGCAACTTGAAGATGTCTGGACTTCAAGTCCCAGAATTCCCCAGCCAGCGAATGCTGGTTGGGGAATTCTGGGAGTTGAAGTCCAGACATCTTCAAGTTCCCAAGGTTAAGAAACACTGCTCTAGATCCTTTGGCTTGGTGGTTGTTTCTATATTGTTTGTCTGCTGAATATAGTTTTTACTTTGTCATGGATGGCACCAGGGGTGGGATTGAAAAATGTTAGCAACCGGTTCTCTGCCTGGTTGCTGAGTGGGCATGGCCATGCTGGGCATGGCCTATGCAGCTTCCCGCACCATTGGGGAGGGCGTTTTCACCCTTCTCAGGTTCCAGAGGCTTTCTTCAAACCTCCAGGAGGGCGAAAACAGCCACCGCCATGCTCTGGAGGCCCTCCAGAGGCTGGAAACAAGCCCATTTTCAGACTTCTGGTAGGCTCTTTTTTGCCATTCCCAGGCTCTGGAGGCTTTCCCCAAGCCTACAGGAGGTGAAAATGGTCTCCCCAGGCTCTGGAGGTCCTCTGGAGGCCGGAAATGGGCCTGGTTTTTGCCATCCCAGAGCCTCCGTGCGGGCCCTACACTTACCTGGCATGATGAACGGGCTGCATGGAGACTCCTGGGAGGGGAGGGTGGGGCCAGGACTGGTGTCTGTTCCAAAATACAAAATTTCTTCTCTTTCAGCCCTTATATTGTAGATTTAGTAACCAAGATGAACATGGTATAAGGAAGCTTTCAATGATTCTTTGATTTTGCTTAATATTAACTCAATCAGAGAAACATTGCTAGTTTAATAAAATCCTGGCTTAGCACAACTAAGCGCTTTTCATCCGATGAGCAGTGGCTGGAACCCACTGATCCCTTGAGGCCCACTTAAATTGATTTATTTTACTGCTCTTCTATTTTGCTTTCTTTCTATTCATTCTAAAATGTTTGTGTACTGACCTACTTTTTTAAAAATGTTTTCATTATGAAATTGTATTGAATTCTCTTTTACAGCAAAATGCTGTAAATAATATGTATAGTTCATTTTTTAAAATATGTTTTTGTGCCTTCTAGAGAACCTCTTTGGGACAGTTTATGGAAAATGGTTTAAAATTAAAACAATTATGCAGTACAATCTTAAAAGAACTTACCAAGCTATATATTAATAAAAGTGTAATTACCTTTAAGGAAAGGGTATTCAAAATTAGGTTAATAAAACAGATTATTACAAGAAAGCACAATTTTATCTGATGAGTTTTTAAATAAATTAAAATTTAATGTAAATAAATTATTTTATTTAAATAAAATAAAAATATTTATTTTGTTGTTATTGAATATACACCTCTACTTTCCGTTTATGCCAATATTCAAAATAACTTTAACCAATAAAAATGCAGAGTATAAATATAACAAAATTAATACAATTACAGTAAAGGTTAAATCAGTGATTAACAATTAAAAGCTTGGAAAAGAAATGATCATCTTATCTTAAGTACTAGACATAACTGGGTCCTGGGGAAGCCCTGGTGTAGGGTTTCCTGTCTGAATAGGGGGATGGACTGGAAGACTCCCAAGATCCCTTCCAACTCTCTTATTCTGTTGATTATTCTGATTTAACTAAAGTGTAAGAAAATGCCTCTGAACTCTTCCTTTCAACTACACAGGGAAAAGAGAAACTATATCTTAAATACTAAACCATGGTTTAACTTGTTGACAAAACCGTAACTGTCTGTTTACATCATAATTGCTGGATTCACACAAAATTCTAAGTGAATCCTGTTACAGTTAGCATGGTGCATAAAACCATGCTATCAATGGAAGGACTGGAAGTCAAACTGCACTGATATTCCATCAACATATGGTTTAACTAAAGTTTACTTAACTCTGAGCAAGATTTGTAAAAGATAGTAACTAAACCAAAAATCAATTATGACACAGGAACATATGATAACTTTCTATTCATGTAATTTACAGCATTAGAAAGTAGCCAGACCATTTGAACTGTGTTAAAATATACATTTTATACAAATCCAGCCAGTGCTGATAGTTGCATGCAAACTCAGAAGATTCAGCTGATTTGATAAATAACAATCAAGTTCTTAATGAATAGACTTGTAATCAGAACACAAGCCATGGATGGAACCATCAGATACCTTTGTTTTCTTACCTTTGATGGCACTTGCAGTTATCTTTCACACATGGGCTGTAGTTCTTCACTGCTTCATCAATTTGAACAAGGATTTTTTTCCAGTGTGCATCTAAAATTTAAATAGAAACAGTTTTGCAAATTTAATTATTTCCACTGTATTGTTGATGTAGGTAGTGCAAGATTTCCATATACAGTATATTCTATGAATACTATGCCTGCAACATGAATGGAATTGGATTTATAGTTTTTTGATAAAATTATTTATCTTTTCCTCTAATACGTGTTCCAAAAATATGAAAACATACCCCCCCCCAAATGATTACAATATTTTCCCCTAAATTATACAATTAAATAACTGCAGGAAAAATACATTATGGATTTGTCATTAAATACATTGGCTAAGTATATTAAAATGTTTGTTTTGCAATATTTTTACTTAGAATTAACGTATCATTCTATTTTTTAATTTACTTTGCATCGTTAGCACGTTGAATATTATTTTTGCTCTTTTTTCCTTCAACAATGTATTTTTTTTCATATAAAGTGCTCTGAGTTCTGATAAGCATGAGTTAGCCAATATGTAGATGAGTACTGGTACATTAATTGGATTTGAAAGAAAAAAAGGACTTGCAAACTAGAGATTAAAATTATAGTTATAAAATTTGCCTCTAATTTATGGTTTAATTCATCTGATGAATGATAATTTATTTGCACAGTATAGTTTTGATCAAGCAGGTCAATGTATGGCATAAATAGATGAGATGTAGGCATAACTGTCATTGATAAGCCAATGTATTTATTAAGTTCTTCATTTATTCAATGCTCATGCCAAGCCACAAATTCCTTTCTGGTATCATCTACATTTATGCCCACAGTATGATATGGTTTTAAATGCAGTGGCACTCAGATAGCATTTAATCTTGTGAGTAAAACCATGTGGTGACATTTTTATAATGCTGCATTACATTATTCTACAGTCGTCTGACACATGGGATTATATAGTCCAGAGTCACAAGCTGGAGCCAATAGTTACCATATATTAAAGGCAACAAGTGAGAAGAAATGGCTTCAGTTCCACTCTCCAATGTCCACAGGACTCCAGCATTACTTCTTAAATTACTCCTTAAACAGGTTTGCAGATGCAATCTTACCTGGATAAACTTTTCTTTTTCATTAATTATTTAATACACAGAAAATCCCCACTTTAGTCAGAAAAGTTGCTTCAGAGATAAAGAGCAAGCATGGGAAAAGATGCGGCTACTCAAATTGGACATAGATATGTTATGTCAAAACACTTTTGGGGGGGAAAATTGAATCAAAGTGCTGTGCCATCCTAATAAATTACAAAAGCAAATGCTATTATATCATTTTTTGTGATTAAGATTTGTTTCTGTTTTCTAATATATAAAAAAGTAATGCTTGCAGATGTGTGAAACTCCTAGAATTCACCATAATGCCAAAGATTTCTCATAAATTGTAGGTTATCAGGTCGTAGAAAAATCTTAATTTGGTGTTTTAATTCAGTACATTTATTTTTCATTATTTGCAAAACAGTATAATATTGAAAATAGTTAAAGCATATTAAGAAACAAGTTTCAGATAAATGTTCAAATCTCTCGCATATAAGAAAAAAAGGAAACTTATAAAGGAATACAATATGATATTGGCCTCTGAACAATGAATGACTCCAGAGAATCAAGAGTGAGATGGTGGAGAAAGAATTCCTGAATCCCATAGATTAGCACGCTGCAAAACAAAATTGTATCGAGATATATTCGGTCCCATTTGCATCCGATCAGTGAAAAATCATCCTAACACTCACCTGCTGAGCTACTTCCCCAGCCCAGAGTAAACAGACACAGAATAAAAACATGTAAAATCCCAAGAGACAATTGCAGACGCTGCATCACGCCGAACCCCAAGCTACAACTTTAACGTATGTGCCCTGTGCTGCCCCAGCAGTATAAAGATAGTGTAGGAATTAAGAGCTGTCTCCTTTAAGAAACTACCTCCTGGGAAATATCGGCAGAGACTGCCTTATGGGAAATGTAGTTCCATGACATGTGATCATGTCTGTGCTTCTGATTGGCCACTGGGGCATCCTGCCTGCGTGCAGAACAAAAGCCAGTCATTTTCCTCCTCTCAATATGGGAGTGAAATCATCTTTTTATATCACGTGATGGGACAGATTATGGAAAGTCAGAAGTATCTTAACACTGAACTGTAAGTTTTGCTATTAAGAATGCCTGATAATAAACTTGATCTGAATGAGATTCTAAAGCGTGGAGTAATCTGCATGCCCCAGCGAGCCTAAAACGCTCAAGGCAGAAGAATAAAAAGATAATGTCACTTTGAACTCCCCTCAAGTGAAAAACTGTTATTTTTGCAACCAAACTTCGTTTGAGTGAGAAGAAAACTAAAACTTATCCTTGCTAAAGAAAGACTGTGTTTGTGTGAGAAGTGCAAAGCCTCTCTTGCAGAGAACAGATTCTGTCAGCGATAAAAGCATGCTTCCTCTCTCCCTGTTCGCCTTTTTTCCGTTTAATTGCGCTCCGGGGGGAGGGGGACCCAGAAATCGCATGACAAAGCAGCCCCCTCCCCAACCTATTCAGTCCAATCTGCTGTTGTTAAGGCCAAAGACTTTGCAAAGAAAGAAAAACCTGTTTCAGTAAATCAAAGCAAATTCCAAGCCTTACTGCTTAAGTGGTTGTAAAAGCCTCATGGAAAGGTCTCCATGGAAACGGAATTTGAATAAGAAAGCAGTCAGCTAGCCCAGATCTTTATATGAGAATCTGACTTCCCAAGTCCTTTGAACTTACTTGATAAGTTGTTCTGGCAAGGAAGGGCAGTAAAGAGGCCCCAACCATCCCTGGCATCATTTTACTTTGTGTGTGCAGAGCCATCTGGCAGTCAAATGGTCATAAGGCCGATGCCTCATGACCATTTGACTGGAGAGTTAGCTTTACAACCCTCAACAAGAAAAATGCCATTATCAGTTACTGGTCATTAGTCACAAACTGCATCCTATTGTGGCTCTTCTACAAAGTACAATCCAGTATTTCAAGCTAACGCTTGCAACGCACCTTAGTGGCCAAAAGGTGAACTGCACCTGCATCTACAAAGCCTTGCAACACACCTTAGCGGCCAAAAGGTGAAGTGCGCCTGCATCTACAAAGCCTTGCAACACACCTTAGTGGCCAAAAGGTGAACTGCGCCTGCATCTACAGAGTCTTGCAATGCACCCTAGTGACCATCAAGTGAATTGTGCTGCATCTCCACAGTCTTGAAACGCACCCTAGTGGCCAAAAAGTGAATTAAACTCAAAATTCATAATACATTCAGGAAATTTCCTGTGCTAATCCTAGTTATAGAATCTTCTCTAGCCATGACAGAGGGGTCAGATATGCCGAACCCCATGCCTGACTCTGACACAGACTCAGAATTGGTTATCCAAAACTCAGAATTGGACATCCAACTTTCAGAAAAGGCAGAGGCACCTCAGACAGCCTATGACCTGAAGCAAAATAGAAAGTCTATGCAGACTAAGCGGTCGAACCTCTTAGAGGATTGGGAAAGGTTTTATCAAAAGCATGAGAAATGCTGGAAGAAGTTGCAGCAGTTCTACGTCAAACTCAAAGAGGAGTTGCCCCCCAAACACCTGCATACATTGGACGAGGACATGGATGAAATATTCATACAACGGACAGTTTATGGAGACTGCCTCAACAACATCCAGTTACAACTAAATGATGATGAATTCCAGAAGAACATGCTGTGTTTCCGGACGTTAAACAAAGAATGTAAAAAGCAATTTCAAAGCAGAAAGACTTTATCCAAACCAGTCTGAAGAGGGAGACTGCATTGAACAAGAAGGCTGAATCTGAAGTGTCCCATTGTTCGCATACACCATCTCAGCGGTCGCATATGATTTCCTGACATGCTTCTAAGAAAGCATCCTCATCTAGTTCCAAGGATACACCAGGACAGAAGGCTGCATCTTATCGTTCGCATGCACCATCTCAGCGGTCACGCGCAACATCCTCCCATGTCTCCAATAAAGCTTCATCCCTCTACCAAAGCCAACCTGATTTTGAATGGACACCAGCATCTCACAGCAATCTTCCCATCACAGCCAGATATCACAGGCATCTAGAATTGCAGAAGCACAAGTTGAAGCTGAGATAGCCAAGGAAGATCTAGAAGTAGCAAGGGAAGAGCAATTGCTGAAGGAAGAGATGACAGCTGCGAAAGCCAAAGCTCGGGAAGAGATAGCAGCTGCAAAAGCAGTTGTGAACCTCCATAATGCCAAAGCTCAGGCTGAACTTGAATTTCTTCAGCACAAGTGGGAAGCTATGGAAAAAAATGATAAGGGCCAAAGCTAACTGCGCCTCCCTCAATTCCAGTCCTAGGAAGATGGAAAAAGATAATCTGAACAAGCATATCAAGGCCTACGTGTACGACCCAAATTTGCCACAACAGGAACAAGGAAGAGAATCTCAACCACCAGATCTATAAACTAGTCAGACAGCTGATATTATACGATCTGGATCACGAAACTCCTTCTTTGGAATTAGAAAACTTACCCTGACATACCTAGAAACATGAGATGATCATGGTAGTCCATCAGCAACAGTGAAGGATCTTCAGCAGGCAGGCACACAAGGGGCCACGGTTCACAGCCTCAATGTGGAGGTGAAGGAATCCTTGCCAGATCTTCAAAGCAACTTGAGCGTGGACATACGGCACAATGAATGCGGTCAGCCAGGTACCCTGCATCCAGACTCTAAGTTGCCACAACAGACAACTCCTAACCCTCATCTGGCCAAGGAACATGGCCGGCATGGTACCAAAGTGCACCCAGAGGCAGTTGCAAGTGTCAATTGCACATCAGTATGTGGTGACTCACCATCCCTTCACTTATACCAACCGATCTGCTTAGCAAAAGTCTACCACAATGGGCGTCTAGAAGAATCCAGGAAGATGCATGAAATAGTAGACACAGAAAGCAATCAATCATTAGCCAGGTCAGATTCTTTGACCTCTTTGATGTCCAAAGTGCAGAGACATAATTCATGATATCAACGTGCACTGGGTCTCAGCACACGACAGGGAGGAAAGTTGATGGACTCTGCATAGAATCGTTGGATGGGAGTGCACAGTTCCCATTGTCGCCATTGCTACAATGGGACGACTTACCAGATGATCGCAGTCAGAATGTAGCACCAGAGGTAGTAAGCACCATACCTCACATGAGGCACATGGCTAATCACTTTCCTGCTCTAGATCCCAAAGCCGAAATTCTGCTCTTGCTGGGAGCAGACACCTCCGATGCTTTCACCCCCCTTCAAGAAGTGGTCAAAAGCCCAAGGGGCCTCCCATTCACCCTCAAGACAGAATTCATAAGAGGCATCTTTGGGATGGTTTGTGTCAATTGGCCGCAGGTCCCAACCCAGGCGAATGTCTTTGTGACCTCCACTCTCAGTAATGGGGGAGCATCCCAATCGAGACTGTGTCAAAAACACTTTATGACTTCGACAAACAACCCTGATTTAGAAGCAACAGTGTTCCAGACCAGCAAAGAAAACAATGACTTGGCCTTGTCGACAGAGGACAAAGATTTTCTGTAGCTCATGGAGAAAGAGCTTCAGCAGGACGTCTCCAGGAGCTGAGTAGTCCCATTACCCTTTCGCATAACCAGGCAGCGCCTGCAGAACAACCACGAGCAAGCTCTCTCTCATCTCTTCAGTCTGAGACGACTAATGAACAGGAAGCCTGCAGTGAAAGCTCATCTAGTGGGGTTCATGAATAAGATGGTCCAGAACTTGCACCACCTCTGAGAAATGATGAGGAATGCTGGTACATGCTATTTTTGGGGGTGTACCACCCACAAGAGCCAGGCAGAGTCGACTAGTCTTTGATGCCAGCATGCAACTCCAAGGCTTCTCCCTGAATGAAGTTCTTCTCACAGGAACTGATCTCACCAACAGCCTGCCAGGTGTACTCAACCGCTTCAGAAAGGAAGCCATCACCACCATAATCGACATATGTTCCATTCATTCCTTGTTAGAGAAGACCATCAAAACTACCTACATTTCATGTGGTCCAGTTACAAACAGCACAACCAACAGAAACAAGAATGGGAGATGTGTTGTCTCCCTGAGTTGTCTTTAAAGTATTCGTGTGCAGTGCACGTACATTCCCATCTGGCCTGTCACCACACTGAAGAAAGAACTGCATGTCTTCTCAGATGCATCAATGAAGGCAATAGCAGCTGTAGGATATATCAGGGTCTATGATGGGGAGAACGACATTCATGTTGATTCCGTCATGGGAAAGGCGAAACTAGCACCGTAACTAACCCTCAACCAGTCCTGAGAATCAGCTCACTTTAAACGCTTCTCCAGACAGAGACTTCTCATGTTGGGCATAGCAGTGATCATTCTCATTTCCCTCTTGGCAGAGGTGGCTCGACCCTTGGTTCCAGTGTCTTCGGATCTTGAAAACCCTACTATCCTCACCCCAGCCGCCTTGCTGACCCAGAAGACAGGTGACCAGCACCAGCAGGGAACTTCATTCCCAAAGACATGTATTGGAACTCATGGCCTAAGGGACTTTTGTCCATTGGAATGCATGGCCTATGGGTCTTGTGTCACAAGTCCTACCCAGTGATGATGAACTAATCTGCCAGGTTGAAGTTCAAGTCGCAAAGCCGCTGGAGTCATGTCATGACCAGCAGACTTGTGCCAAGAAGCTCTACACCAGACTAATCACTGCTGCTAAAGAAGACCAAACTAGAATATTGAACCTCAAGCTTTGCATGCTTTGTGTTTGCCTCACTGTTTGCATTATTTGATGCTATGCTTTTGTGTAACTCAGTTAATTAGTTAGTTAAGTTTGCATGTTTGATGTTATGCCTTTGTTTATCTTAGTTAATTAGATAGTCAAGTTTGCATTGTTTTATGACATGCCTTTGTTTACCTTTAGTTAAAAGTTAGTTGATAATGGAATTTCTAATTCTAGGCGGGAAGTGTACTGCCCCAGCAATATATATAGATATAGAATTAAGAACTGTCTCCTTTAATAAACTGTCTCCTGGGAAATGTCGGCAGAGACTGCCTTATGGGAAATGTAGTTCCATGACATGTGATCATAACTGTGCTTCTGATTGGCCACTGGGGCATCCTGCCTGTGTGCAGAACAAAAGCCAGTCATTTTCCTCCTCTCAATATGGAAGTGAAATCATCTTTTTATATCACGTGATGGGACAGATTATGGAAAGTCAGAAGTATCTTAACACTGAACTGTAAATTTTGTTATTAAGAATGCCTGATAATAAACTTGATCTGAATGAGATGCCTAAGCTTGGAGTTATCTGCATGCCCCGAGCAAGCCTAAAACGCTCGAGGCAGAACACACCCACACATCCTCTTGAATTTCACTGGAACGATTCATTGAAAAAAGGAAAATCTGATTGCGCTAGTTGCGCCTCCATCGATAATAGTTTACACGCAAGCTCAGAAGTGGTGTCCCGCCGCCACATTGATTTATGGGGTTGGTAATTTATTAACATAAAAACCATTTTGCATTGTACACCTTCGCGTACTGACAACAGAACCATGTTAATGCCACATTCTAATATATAAAGATGTAGATTACTGACATTGACTGATTACTGACAATGGTTTTATTTCAAACAGACCCGGTGGCCTCTCCAAAAACAAAAACCTGTTGTAGGCAGCAACCAAGGGAGGAGTTAATGCATGGTTGCATTGGAACTGCCTGTTAGAAAATGGCTCCGGCTCGGTTATGCCACTTATTGTCTCCTAACACCCAAGCTTCCTGAAATCTGCGACATGCTCCAACCCTCCATAGGGACGAAGCTGCTGGTGGATCTCATGTGCTAAAGGCACAGATACAGCCAACTGCGGGAAAAGATACATCTGGCACAGATACATCTGGTACATCCAGAGGATCTTGGCTACTTATTGTTAATTGGCAGGAGTGAACTTGTAATTTGAATTGGAGGATTTGTATGAAAACCTAATTCTGTATCTGTTCATCACTGCTTGGAGCCTAAGAAATTTGCAAGGTGGTATCCATGCCGAATATGTATTAAACACAGGTTTTCCTACACAGACTACTCTGCGGGGTTAGCTGATCTGCAGGATATTAGATGAACTTGGAAAATAAACTTGGAAAAAAAATCATGATTCTGTTAATTGTGGGTAAGCTGTTTTCTTTGAGTTTCTTCTTTAAGTTTTCTTTGTGCGATTAAGACAATGTGGTTTGTACACAGACTGGAGGAAATATGGGAATAGAACTACTAAAATAATCAGGAATCTTTTTTCATAGGTAGTGTGTTGCACAACAAACACATAAATTTGTAGTTGTGTTGGATGTTGCATTAAACAATGCAAAGGAAATCTCTGAAGCATGATAATTATTATTAAAATAAAATACATACAGAAGAAAATTGGCAGGATTGTTTAAAGTGAGTGATCTCCCAATGACCCAAAAACCTTGATTTGAGGAAAAACAGCACATATTTAATCTCTCTGCTATTCTGCTCAAATTGATTACTAGATGAAAGTCTCTTAACAGGCTAAAGCTTGTATTAGTTGATGAGAAATGTACTCTGTTATGTAACGGAAGAAAAGGAAATAGCATAAGATATGGCTCTGTTTTATTTTTCTGGGAAGATTTTCAAAGTATATCCCTATAGTAGATGCACATTCATCAGTTGCAATCAGCATTTCAAAAGGGAAGAGTGTCTATTGTGACTTCACATGTACTGCCGCTGTTTTGGGAAAACAAAAATAAAACTGTTTTCCCAAAAAGATAAAATCATGCAATTACCTAAGTAGGAAGCTGATTCCAAAGTAATGGAAAAACACAATATAGAAGTGTCCCAAACCTTCAGAAATTTTGAAATGGGTCAAATGTGAATCCTGTGCAAACAGATATTACATTCACTACAGTGTACCACCATTTATTTATCAAATTTATATATGATCCTTATTGCCTAAGTGACTTGGATGGTTTATCAATAAAAGTCATACAGTCATATAAAAGAAACAGAGAAACAAAGTGAAAAACAGAACTAAAAAGAGGTTAAAAAAATTAAAATTTAAAATGGCAGAGTACCCTCAAGCCACCAACCAATCCTCAGGATTGCATGTCACTCTTTAATTCCCAGGTCAGTGGCAGAGTCTGATCTTGATGCTCTTCAGGAAGGCTAGCAGAATGGGGCCCACCTCATCTCCGGGATAAAGATATTCCATAGGGCAGGGCAACAGAAGAAAAGTCTTCCTTCCTAAGCCTGCCAATCAAAATTCTTTGATCTATAGCAGGGGTGTCAAACTTGTGGCCCATGGTCCGAATACTTCATGCACTGGCCATGCCCATACCCTCTTGAGTGAAGGAGGGGAAGTCACTTTATGTCACGTGATGCCGCCATGACGATGCGAGTTTGACACTCCTGATCTACAGGATGCACAACATATCTTCTCTGACTGATTGGGAGGAATGAGTTGATATAATTGGGATAAGATGATTCCATAGGTCATCTGTTCCCATGCGCTTAGGGCTTAAAAGGTAACTAACACTTTGAATTGAAACCTGCAGCTTCAGGATATTCTTAAAGAGTAGCCCCGTGAATAGCACATTGCCATGGTCCAACCGAAAGATTATCAAGGCATGAGTGACTGAAAGAAGAGCTGCTTGATAGAGGAAGGGGCATAACTGGCACATTTTCTCATTAATATTTTTCATTCTGACTTTTCAGATTCATGAAACTTAATTTTGCAAAGTAGGTAAACATTAGAAAGCAAAAGCTTTTGCACTTTACTGCCACACTGAAAGCCAGCACCAGGTTATGTGAGAAAGGCTCACGTTCAGTATCATTGGACAAAAAACTTAGATGAAGTTGTTGGGCTTTCTCTTTTTGCTTTTTAGAGTTTTAGTACAATATATGTATTTATTGAAAGCGCTAAATATTAGCTAAAACTATCTTTTCCATCAGAATTTAGTCTCACTTGCTTTAAATAAATGCTTCACTACTATAAGATTACAATGTTAGTATTTGTTCAGAACTGAGCTAACCACATTTATTTCTAAGTAAAATGTCTTAAATATTTCTTGGTAACATAAAGTGGAAAAAGAAAATAGGGGAATGAAAAGGGATTTGTATTTAAAATAGACTTCAATATTTTACATACTCATACATGACAATAAGTATTCACTAAATTCAGTGGATTGTTTTTAGATTGGAATAGGTTGAAAAATCTGAAAAAAATAAGATATTTTGAGTCCTCAACTTACGACCACAATTGAGCCCAAAATTTAGGTGAGACATTTGTTAAGTGAATTTTGCCCCACTTTTGTTCCCAGATTTATTAAGTGAATCACTGTACTTGTTAAATTAGTAACACAGTTGTTAAGTGAATCTGGCTTCCCCATTGACTTTGCTTGTCAGAAGGTTGCAAAAGGTGATTACATGACCTCAGGACACTTCAATAGTCATAAATGTGAGACAGTTGTAAAGCATCTGAACATAAACTACATGACCATGAGGATGCTGCAATAGTCATAAATGTGAGACAGTTGTAAAGCATCTGAACATAAACTACATGACCATGAGGATGCTGCAATAGTCATAAATGTGAAAAATGGCCATGTCACTTTTTCAGTGCCATTGTAACTGAGTGATCACTAAGTGAATTGTTGTAAGTAGAGGACTACCTGTACTTGCCGTTCATCATGTTGTGCCCTTGTTTTTCTACCTTCTTAATAGCCCATGATATTTTTACTGTAAATATATAATATTGAAAGAAATTAATTTACATGGAGACACCAATAATCTGTGATTATCATTCATATCTTAGTAAAATTCATTGCAGTATTTTAATGTTCATAATTGTCCTGGTCGGACTCCATATTGTTTTTCGTTATTCTGTTTGTTCTAACAACAAGAGTAGATTCAGTTGCTTCATGGAAATATAAGATTCAACATCTGTAGATAGCAGGAACTTAAAAAGAAAGGAGTTCTTGAAGAATATTCAGAATGGATTTCAGTGCTGTCACAAAGGAGACCTACTTGGATAGCGATCAGATTCAGAATTTCTCCTGAATCTGATCGCTATCTTCATCAGTGAAGGAATTCATTTCTGTTCATATCTGTGTGTACTTTAAATATAACTGTTCCAATTACACAATATTCTACCAAAACTTTAAAGGAAATTATTCAATGCAGAAAAATAGATTGCCTTAGAGAAAATATGTGTCTGGAGTCCTTCTATTGAGGTCTCTTGTTAAATAACTCGTCAAACTTCCATCTGAGCTTTTGTGATTTCAGAGTTCAATAGCTTCCTCCAACTAATCATCCCAGGAGATAAACTGCCAATAACAGATAATTAAGTTGCATGGGGCTCTATTAAAACTTTACGAGACAATATTTTTGAGATCTATACTTGCAAATTAGCTGCAGTGGGCATTGTTAAGAAGATTCTGTTTGCATAAGAAATAAACAGGAGAAGGATGTACATTAAACATATTCTCCATTGGCTGAAAATTGCAGCAAATTCATTTAAATCCATTCCAAAATTAGAAACAGAGCCCTGAGCATTCATTAAGGATGCTGTTGCTCATCAGACAGACGCATCAGGGCAGAACTCCAGAGGCAAACTGCCTTTCTCGCAGATGAGATGATTCACTTAATAATAAAATGCAAAAGAAATTGAAAACCAGTAAAAACTTTTTCTGAACTAAATAAAAGAGCTAGTGCTTGGAAAGACCAATATTCATATACATATTCATATCATATTCATATATATATATATATATATATATATAT